TTTGTGAAAACTTAGTCAAAATGGGCCAGAACCTAAATGTAAGTGCTGAAACCAAGGTAAAAAGGTGATATATAGAGGAGAAAACATTTATAACTCTATCTGATCAGGGACTAGAGTCCAGAATAGACAGAGAACATTTACAACTCAAAAGACACAACTCAATTAAAAGTAGCCCAAGGACTCAAGTGGACATTTCTTGCTAGAATAACTGATGTCTACATTCGGCTTCTTCCTTCCCTCTCTCCCCTTCACCTTTCAAGGTCATCCTCGCCGTGTTCCTAATAAAGGCAGAACAGCTGATCAGCTGGGCTCCTGTCCTGGATCACAGCCCCAAAGTATACTTCAACCTTCCCTGCCTCTTCCTCCATGACATCATTTCCCTTGTTGCTGAGACATGGTTCCCAACACCCAAAACTTAAAGGAGGAGAAGTTTATTTCAGGTCACAGTTTGTAGAGGTTTTAAACCATAGTCAGCTGGCTCCAAGACAGGCATCATGGCAGAGGGGTCTGGTGGAGGAGAAGTTGCTCAGCTCATGGCAGACAGGAAGCAGAATCAAGGGAGGAGCCAGGAAGAGAGACAAACCCTTCCGGGTCATGGCCACATGAGCCACCTCTTCTGATCAGGCCCTGCCTCCTAAGGGTAGGTCAACTGTAAGCTCCTACAATCCAGTCACCTTCCAAAGATACTGCCTATGAGTGCATGGGGCTTTAGGGTGATGTCTAAACAGAAACCTCAAGACATGAGTTTCAGCTTATGCCAAGAAGGGTTTGCTAGAGACTCCTTGCTCACTGCCCTATCAGAAATAAAACTTGACCTCAAGATCTAGGGCTATTTAGGTCTCTCCCTTATACCTCTTTCAGATTTACTTGAAATATCTTTTATAGTTCATTCATAATATATAAGAAAAGAAAGTATAAGGATAGCCTGGAAGTTAAGTTAAAGTAAAATTTGGGTATGTCCAGTGTAGTGGGATGAAAAGTCATGTAACACCAGTCCCAGGCAGCTGGGAAAAGGCAGACAACAGCCAGAACCTCGGACTCTGCTGAGGGTATACTCCAGGGCCTGAGGCGTACCAGGTGGAGATGAACTTTGTTCTTCCAACCACGAAACTAAAAGTGCAGCAGCTGATTTCTGTGAACAGTGACTGAAAAAGCTTCCTCAGCTACAGTTAAGGTAGAGATGTGTTGTCCACAAAAGAATCTCTAAAACACTGACGGGGTTCTTGGGGTTCCTTGGAAAGCACATATTTGGTCTTCCCTGTCTCTCTTCACCCAGCTCTACCTGCGGCCCACCACCCAGTAAACCCCCAAAACTCAGGGCTTGAGCGGCAGGCACAGCCACCCTGCAGGTGTGATACATTTGGAAATGCTCCCTGACGGTGATGGTTGGGAACCAAGGGTGGACAGGGAACAACATGAAAAGTACAGGTGGGTTTCTTTGAAGTTGGCATTTGCGGGGATGCAACAGTTTGCTTCTCAGTGTGGTCGTGTCAAGGTGGGGCCTTTAAGAGGTGGAGCCTAAGGAGAGGTACTTAGGTCAGCAGAGTCGCTGCTCTTGGGGGCATTGGTGTAGTTTTCCTGGGACCCCGAGTTAGTTCTGCCGAGAGAGAAAGGTTATGGGAAGGGCGAGCCTGGCCTTCCCCCACTGTGGCTGCCTGTCTAGCAATGGGATCTCTTCCTCTTGCACAAGTGATGCCACCATCTCCACCACTGTGATGCCACCCACCAAGAGGCTCTCACTAGTCTAGCCAGTGCCTGCTCAACTCCACCTGGTACACCTCAGGCCCTGGAGTATACTCTCAGCAGAGTCCGAGCTTCTGGCTGGTGTCTCCCTCTTCCCAGCTGCCTGGGAGTGGTGTTACATGATTTTTCATCCCTCTACACTGGACATACCCAAATTTTACTTTAGCCGATGCCTGCGCCATCCCCTCGAACCTCCACAAGTGTGAGCTCAACCTCTTAACAAAGTTACTCAGCAATGAGAAAAACACAGAAGGCAAAACTGGTCGGTGACATTCATTTCATATGGTTCTACCTGAGAATACCAAAATTGACCTCAGGAGACTGGATCAGGAATTTCTGTACGAGTTATCCAGGTGTATGAACAAAGTAGGGACTGGTGAAAGGTACTGGGGCTTCAAAAGCAAACCAAGGTGGAGTTGCTTGTGCTGAGCTAAGCCACGAGAACACATGTTGTGCTGTGTGGGGCAATTTTCAGCACAATCGTGTTGGCTGACGGTGGGTTTTTGCTGGAAAATGCACACACAGTGGTGAGCCCACTGTTGAACGTCAGAGTGGACTTACACAAACTAGCACCGCTCTGATGTCACTGGTGGAAAATCTCATGGACCACAGTTGGCCACGCAGTCCATCGTCATGATGTGGTACACGGCTCTACAGCTGGATGAGTGTTGTTTGATAGATGTACAGACCAGTATAACAAGCACCACACTCAGGACCTAGAACATTTGTATTACCACAGGAAGGTTCTTGGTGCTGCTTTGCACACACTCACTCCGTCATCTGGCTCCAGGAAATTATTTTTGGCTTCCCGTGAGTGTACTTGCCACTTTTATAATTTCAAAATTGTGGCGTTTTCTTTTAGGCATAATGTTTTGAGAGTCACTCATGCCAATGCATATTTCAAGTTTGTTCAAGTTTACATTAATGAATAGTATTCCACTGGAAGGGCAGTTTAAGAGCTCCTCCATTCACTTGATGAACATTGGGATTTTCAGTTCGGGATTATTAAGAACAGAACTGGTATGAGTATTTGAGTTCAATTTCTTGTATAGACATATGTCCTAATTTTTCTTGGGTTAGAAGTTGAATGTCTGACTCGCAAGTGTAAATTTATAAGAAATAGCTGGGCATGGTGGTGATGCACAGCTATATTTTCAGAACCATGTAAGGCTGAGGCAGGAGGGTTCCAAGTTCAAGCCCAGTCTGAGCAATTTAGCAACATAGTGAGAACTTGTTTCAAAATTTAAAGGGAGGGAAGGTAATGGAGCTGTAGCTTCATGTGAAGGCTCTGGGTTCAATTCCCAGTACTGCCAAAAAAGTCAAATATTTTCCAAAGTAATTATAGCATTTTTCTTCCCACTGACAGTGTGAAAGATTTCTGAATGTACAAAGTTACCAAGGCATGGAATTGTCCATTTCAAAATTTCCCATTCTAGTGGGTATTCAGAGGTATCTCGTTATGGCTTTAATTTGCACTCCTCGGGTTAATAACATTGAGCATCTTTTTATGTCCTTTTTGCCATTCTTACACCTGCTTTTATATTTTCCATATTTCTTCATCACTGAAAAAGTTCACATTAGGTTTTATTATTGAGTTATGAGTTTTTTATGTATTCTAGATAGAAGTCCTCTATCAGAAATATGCACTACAAAAAGCTGTCTGTGACTTACATTTTCATTTTCTTCCTGGTGTCCTTCCAAGAGCAGAACTTTTAAATAATGAAATACAATTTATTATTTATTTTTAAGGTTTATGGGTCCTTTATAAGAAATGTTTTATCCAAAGGAAATAAAGAATTAGAGCCGACCCTTGACTTATGAACTCAATTTGTTCCCAAGGGCTGGTTGTAACTCAAGTTGTCAACTGCAGGCTCAGGCTCCTCTGCATGGCATTCAAAGTCTCTCTCCTGGGGCTGGGATTTAGCTCAGCGGCAAAAGCGCCTGCCTGGCAAGTGCGAGGTCGTGAGTTCGGTTCCCGGTACCGGAGAAAAACCAAAAAACAAACAAACAAAAAAAAGTCTCTCTCCTGTACAGAGGCAGAGCTCAGCGTCCTTACAGAGACACTGGGCAGGATTTCTCAGTTAACCCCACACAGGAAAGGATGTTGTAATGTGCCTTCTAGAACTCTTTGAGGTTGAATCTGTATCTGAGACATCTGGAAGCACAAGTGGCCAGCATTAGGATCATAATTCAAGACTTTGGTCATAAGGTAAAATAATGCCTGTCATAACCAAATTATTCATATGTCAGCCCAGTCATAATTTGAGGGTCCACTGTACCTGTTTTAATTGTTTTGTGGTTTTAGATTTTAAGTAAAAGACTATGCTCTGTGTCATGTTAATACTTGGGCATGGTGTGAGGTTCATGGTTAAGGTTCATTTATTTTCCATATTGATGGTGTACTTAGTCACTTCCCTACACTGGACAAAATACCTGACACCCTGAACTTAAGGGAAGAGAGGATTACTTTGGCTCGCGGTTTCAGTCGATGGTTAGCTGGTGCCAAGGCAGAAATGACATGATGGCGTGGTGAAGGGAAGCTGCTCACTAGTGACACGACAGTGTGGTGAAGGGAAGCTGTTCACTAGTGACGTGATGGTGTGGCGAAGGGAAGCTGTTCACCAGTGACGTGACGGTGTGGCCAAGGGAAGCTGCTCACCAGTGACAGGACGGTGTGTGAAGGGAAGCTGCTCACTGCACGGCAGCAGGAAGCAGAGGAAGAATGACGACAAGAGCCAGGGACGAGAACGTATCCTTCTGGGTCACACTCCGCAGTGAACCCCTTCTGACCAGGCCCCCCCTGTTGGTAGCGGTCAGCTACTAACTCACCGGAACCATCACGATCCAGTCACCTTCCAAGAGCCCCACCTCTGGGTAAAGGAGACTTCCGGGGCAGATTTTATCTAAACCATACTGGGTAGATACCCACTTATTCAAGCTCCGTTTCTCCGAAAACATTTCCTTCTTCAAAGCAATGCTTGGTGTGCCCAGTGCCTTTAAGATTTCATTTGTGCTTTTGATCTATAAACTTCAAATGCCAGAGCGTCTCTACTGTAGCTTTATAGTAGATCTTGAAATAAATCCTTCAGCTTTCTTTTCAAGTAAAAAATATTTGGTTACTTACGTCCTTTTTAACAGTGGTTGAGGCAGTTTACTTTTATGTTTATGCTTTTTATTCAGAAGGACATAATTTATATATGCTCAATTTCAAACAACATTACAGAAGTTTATTCAAAATCTTAAAACTCTGAACATCACTTAAATATTGTTCAGTGGTATCAGTCTTACAACTTGTCTTAATCCATAAATGGGAAGTATGGTAGGAAACCAAGATCCTTGGAAGAAAGGAATAAAAACAAAACGATGTATAAGCTGACGCTGGCAGAATTTAGGACTGACCAGGTAGCGAGAGGTTCAACAAAAATCAAAGTGTGCATTTTCCCTTCCACGCCTGAGTCAGGTAACACTGTTCATACCAACCTTGCTGTGCTTCACCTTCTTCTCTATAAAAATGGGACGCACCTACCTCACAGGGCCCCTGTGAGGTACTCAGGTACAGCTCTTAGCATTATGCTCAGCACAAAGCTAGCCATGACTAGCATCTTCCACGAGCCTGGTGAAGTCGGCTTTATTTTCCCAGTTTTTCAAAGAGGATTCCAGATTGTCTACTGAGGGAAAGATGTTTTTCATCCAATCTGTACTCAGGGTCATTTTCATCAGTCTTGCTTTCACAGTATTTGCCTTTTTGTTTCCCACTTTTTGATCCTAAGTAAACATTAGTAGCTATAAAAGTGGTGGCTCCAGGGCAGGGGCCTGGGTGAATGTTTTGTGGCAGTATTTGTCAACTGGAAGAGGCCCAATAAACGATGCTGTGGGAACACGGGGAAAGCGGCGGCAATACCCCATTTACGACTCAGGAGTGGAAGCAGCCCCGACAACGGAGACCTGTCACCCAGCTTTAAGGAAATACTTCTCTTTATTGTCATAATTAAGATGGTAAGAGTAAAAATTTTAAAAGAGATAATTTTAAAAATTAAAATATAGTAAACTGTATAAAATATATACATATTTAAAAATACATTAATTGAGCATTACCAAAACTATGTAAATACAGAATACTTACAAAATGCATTAGAAATATTAACACCTATTATCTGAAAAAATTTAAAATTTGTTTCTAATTTTCAAGCTAAGGAATAAAACAGTAAGCAGTAACAAGACGACTTATTCTTGTCCAAAAGAGAATGATTCTGTATCATTTCTTGCTTGCTTTTTCCAAGACCCATTCAATTACCTGGAAAGAGGAAAAATGTAATTATGGTACCTTTCTATTAAAAATACAAGTGAACAAATACAAATAATACATATTATTAAAACTTCAAATAGAATGGTAGAAAATTTAAAGTAAAAAGAAATATAGCTAGATCTTATACTTAAAAACATTTTATTTTCCAACAAAAGAACTCCTGCTAAACTGCCAATTTTGAGTACTATATTTTTCCCTTTGGACAAATTTCTGCTCTGTTTTCAACTTTATTTCAAAATGTGTTTTCAAAAGGCCAGTAAAAGAAATTAAGCCAAACTTTGAAAACAGCTAATCAAAATGGATTAGTTTTTCTAGTTTTTTGAATTATTTAATTTTTTTCTTTAATACCATTTTAACAAAGTAGGCTGTTAATTATTATTAAATACTGTGCCTGAATAACTTTATTATTAAGTAGCTTAGAAAGTTTTCAGAGGGACATTGTTGATAAGACCAACACTAATTCTTACTACACATGTAGCAGCAGCAAACATCCTGAAATAAATGTCCAGTTCAAGGGAATGTCGTTTCTTGAGGATCATTTATTTACCTGTACGACATTGTTGTTTGCTGTTTTCTTCATTTCTTCTGATAGTCCCCTTGAAGTTTTAAGATCCTAGACAAGACGAAAATATAGCATTTTGCAATTTGTACATTAAATTATAGAGAATGACTCACTGGCATGTAAGTGTGAGGTTATCCTGAATAATTCTGCAAGTATCAAATGCAATTAGGGAAACACTACCAAAATCAACCTGAAAAATGAAATACCCTAAGCAGAACAGACACGCATCCACCTAAATCCCTGTCACCTCAGCTCACGTCCCAATGGCGCTGACCCAAGTGTCAGGGGAGAGCCACCCTCCACCAAGGGTACTTATTTGTGTATTTGCTTCATTGTATATGAAATAAATACACAGTCTGTATTTACTTTACAGGTAACATATCTGTTTTTCCTCTTTCTTCTTTTCGCTGTTTCACCGTGCCACAAACAGGGACAACACAGGAAAGGAAACTGAATTCTGACCCTATAAACTTAACCACATCAATCAGATTAAACAATTAAAAAACTGAGCCTGGCGTGGTGGCGCACACCTGTAATCCCAGAACTTGGGAGGGTGAGGCAGAAGGATCGTTGTTGAGTTCAAGGCTAGCCTGGGCTACAAAGTGAGTTCAAAATGAGTTATGAACTGCATAGTGAGACCTTGTCTCAAAAAGACAAAAAAAAATTTAAGAAACTGGATTATAAAAGAATAAAACATGGTCCTTTGCCAAAGCTCTAAGCAGAGCTTCCTAGAATCAGCCCCTTGTCAATACTTTCAGTTGCTCCCCTTTATCTGTGCCTTCTCTCTCAGCCGGACATGCTTCTGCTGCTTCCTGGGGTCGGTACTCGGTATCAGAGCTGATAAATGGCTGTGGACGGGCTCTTGTACACGCCACCTACCTTCTCTCCCCACTCCACGACATCTTTCTTGCAGTAACTGAAATTTTTGATCAGTAAATAGTGCTTGCATTGTTGAGATAAACACTGTTCGGTCCCAAGGTCATTGCGCTATTATTGGTCCAATGGTTCTTTCACCCAATGTTCTACACTCCCTGTAGGCAAACACCTTGTTTAAGTTTTGCCCTTGCTTTGTTTTCCAGGCTATACTTCTGGGTATTTCCGCTATAGACCTGTAGGACTGTCTTCTCCAACCTGCTGCAGTTAGGTCCAGCAGTTCCCAAGGTCTGTTCCTTTCAGGGCTTCTTGTTCTGCTTATGATTCTGCCCCTGGTCTGCTGATCTTTGGCTTCTAGATGATTCCTCAAGGGGGAGGCACATTTTCCTAAACCACCTGTGTTTGAGACTTCATCAAATCCTCACATCCGCTGGACTGTAGACAGGTATCAAACGGGAGGTAACCGCTGTTCCCTCAGAATTCAAAGGTACTTTTTGCCGTTGTCTAGTTGCCATGTCATGGTGGAGAAGCCCCTTCTGATTCCTAGTTCTTTACATGTGAGCCACATTCTGAGAATGTTCTGGAAGATGTCCCACTGACGCCAAGGGGTGGAGCCGTGACACGGTGACACGGCTTGCAGCAGGGCCTTCATCCACCAAGCTGTGCTGCATGCGCCTTCCCAGCAGGCTTCAGTCCTTCCCTTCTGGGAACCTCTGGTTATATTTTTGACAATTTTCTCTCCTTTAGTCTTTATTTCCAAAACTCCCATTATACGATCATTGGACCTTCTGGATTAATCCTTCAATTTTCTTTTGCTTTTTAATGTTTTTCTCATTTCATTCTAGCTTCTGGTAATTATTTTTCATCTGAAAGTTCAGCTTTTTCGATTCCATGGATTTCATCGTATTTTCAATTTTAAGATTTTACGTTCTGTGTAATTTTTGTTTTAGGAGCAACGCCCTGTCCTAGTTGTACGGACACAGTTAACGTCTGTGTAAGAGGACTGCACTTGCTCCAGTGTGCTCCTCCATGTCCTGTCCTCCAGCCTTCTCGCTCCTTGGTGCCTCGCATCAGGTGTTGGGGCAGCTTTCTGCGGAGCCTGCCCCTCCCTGGCTGGCTTCAAAGAGCGACACTCGAACTTCGGAGGCCTTCTCTGTGCAGAGCTTGTCACAAGGCTGGGTGACCCGGTGGCCAGTTGGCCTGTGCACTGCAGGCTTTATGTCCCCGTGACAATTTCCCGCCCTGCCGCGGAGGTGGGGAGAGCGTCCTGAGCAGCAGGCCTCGCAGTGCCCGAGTGGGAGAGGGTGCAGAGCACACTGCAGGCCCCGCGCATGTGGCAGAGCTTTACTGACTTCCTCCCAATTCCAGCCAGCACCTCGTCCATCCCTGCTTCTCTGACTCCTGAGCGCCTTGGAGACGCTGCTGGCTGACCTGGTGACCAGCTGGGTCTCCCAGGCACTCCGGCTGGTGCTTAGGCTGTGCTCCTTGTAGTTACGCTTCTGCGTACTTGTTCAACGAAACACATTCCCCTGCTTTTTCTTCCCCCTCCCCATGGTCTTTGTTGTGGTACTGTTTGGCCTGAGAAATCTGACACACAAAGGGAGTTGTGCGCATGTGCTTACTGTGCAGTTTTAACCAGAAACCTACATGTAGCTGTCCTTCAAGTCAGGAACTCAAGACGGAGACAGTCTGACACCATCTAAGTTTTAGGAAACTGTCTTTTGAGTGGCTACCCTATCCAGTGTCGTAACTAATGGTGGGTCCCCAAACGGAAACTGGGCATTTTCATAGCATCCAGTAGCTTTTTCACTCTATATAATAATACAATTGTCAATTAAACTAATTAATTATTGATGTTTGAAGCTCCAACTGAAGTGGTAAGACTTGTGAGGGGAAACACTGAGGATTAGTTAAAACGTAACTTCATGAAATAAATCAGACTTGCGTGTGTAAACAGCATATTGTCTCCCTAGTGTAAGAAACGGAAAGAATAAACAAGATCCAAAATGTACAACAGACATTGTGAAAGGGAAGAACAACTGGGACGGGGGAAAGGAGAAAAGAAGGAAGGAAAAAAATATATATATATATACAAGATAGCTAAGATAATTATACTACTAATTTCTATTAGTTCATTGAAAGGAACAGTTTGTGCTTATATTGTTTGATCAATTTTTCATGCCTATATTTTATAATCTGAGCAAGTACTCTGAAGAAAACAAAAAATACTTTAACCATTGTTAATCTCTTATTATCATGTTTTGAAGTCCTGTATCATTTTTATTGTTTTTTTCCTTTCCAATAAATTTTTTTTTTTTTTCCGGTACCAGGAATCAAACTCACAACCTTGTGCTTGCCAGGCAGCTGTGCCACTGAGCTAAATCCCCAGCCCCTCCAATAAAATTTTATTAAAATTTTTAAAAAAGTAATTTTATAGGAGGACTAAACTAAATATAAGTATTTTTGCATTATTTTTCTATCTCCATTTACAAAAATCTAGCAACAATTTCTAGCATAAAAAACAGCATAAAACATGTTCTCATGAAATGGGACATCAGACAGAGAAGAAACGTTGCCACTGATGGGGAGACACCGACCTTCAGGTAGCACTTGGAGATCTCAAAGAGCCGCTGGCTGCACGCAGGGAAGCACTCGTGGGCCTCCGTGATACGATGCTTCCTCAGGGACTCGACCACCACCTCCCTCAGCATCTTAAACAGAACAAGCACAGGAGAGCAGTGAGGCCTCTCGGAGAAGGACGAGCATTTCCGCGGGAGCTCACTGTGACTGAGCTGTGAGCTCCACTGTCAGCCGTGCAAGACAGCAAGCGCATGAGGACAGCAGGGTTAGCACGTCAGCAGGGACTGGCTGGAGTTCCCGAGAAAGGAACTGAAGCCGGGAGTTCTGAACTGAAATCTGAGTGCGACGGTTGTACACAACAGGGATATGCAGGTGTTGTACACAACAGGGATATGTAGGTGTGTGTTTATTTTTTACTGTGGAAAATTTCAAGCAAAGTGTCCTTTTTGTTAGTTTCTCATTATTGGGGACTGGGCCCAGACCCTTCACATTGGTATATCCCCAGCCCTTTTGGTATATTTTACTTTGAGACAGAGTCTCTGTGAGTTGCTAAGTTGCCTAGGCTGGGCTCAAATTTGGGATCCTCCTGCCTCAGCCTCCCAGAGTGCAGGGATCACAGGTGTTTGCCACCACAACCAGCTAATTCCTACCTTACATATCTGCCACCTAGTTTGAAGGACGATCCATTTCTGGCTGATTTTGTTTCATTTATCCCCCTACTCACTTTGCCCATCATCCTAATTCTGAGTGGTTTTAAATTCGAGACATTATTTCTTTTCACTCCTACAATCTTTAGACACACTTTACAAGGTTCACATGACGGGATTTCTTCATGGAGAACAGGAAGGTGAGGAAGTCAGTACCCGAGTGTGCTTCTGGGACCTTGACTCCTTCGTGCGCCTCGATGGTTTCGATTGGCGCGTGCTGCTCTGACCAGAACCGCCCCTTCTCACGACTTCCGGGGCTTCGCCGCCAGGAACTGGAACCGCAGGGTGCGTCACGGCTGACGGCTGCTTCGGCTGTGGTTTCCCTGACGTCACCGCAGGACGCCGACTGCTGCCGCGTGGCTGCAGCGGAAGCGAATCTGAGCTGTCCGATTTCACGGGCCTAGGACGAGGGGAAATCGAGGGCGTGCGCCCCGTGAGTCCACAGATGTGACAACTGCACCCAGACACACACTCAGGAAGGGCAAAGCCTCTTGCTACTCTGCCTTGAAGAAGCAATCAACGATGTTTTGTAAAGTTGGTCCTTTAGTTCTTCAAATAGAGAGTGAGTACAACAGGAGACTGCTCAGCAGACGAGGATTTCCGCTGAGGGAAGCAATGAGCAGTATTCCTAACGGCTCCCGGCGCCGTTTAAACTCCTCATCCTCAGCCATGGCACTCGAGGTGGTGCTCTGTCCACACTCAGTGTTCATCTTCAAGTACTTATACTTTTCTACTGCGACTTTTTTTTTGAGAGGGGGTCTCGCTATGTAGTTTAGGCTGGCCTTGAACTCACTATGGAGCCCAGGCTGGCCTCGAACACATGGCGATGCTCCTGCCTCAGCCTCCTGTGTGCTGAGACTACAGGCATGTGCTACAATGCCTAAATTCAAAGACAGAATTTTAATAAAGAAACCCCAACCTGCCTCTTATGGTACCTATGCCACTAACTGCCCATGCAAAATAAAAAACAATGTTTAGAAAAGCACAAATAACACTGTAAAATTTGCTGTTGCTTCCACGGTTCTAAAATGTTCACACTTTGCTCCCAAAGACTCAAGGTTTCCTCTTGTGAGAGAGAGTTCCCTCCAGCTCTTCAGCTAATCTGGACCTCACTGCGCACTTTCTCTTTCTCTGATAAAAAGAAAAAAATCTTTTTATCAGTCACAGTTCAGAAACTACAATATAGTTACAAAATATAGTATACCAGTGTTAATGCCTTTGCTGTCTACCTTTATCAGAAGTAAAAAGTACCAGGAGCTTATAAAGTTCTCATAAAAATCATTTAGTTATTCCATATCAGAGAAATAGTCTTCTACTATTTTTATGTGTTCAGCAAAGATGCGAAAGTTTCACTTTCATTTTGTGGATTTTTGAAGGTTTACATACAGTAAAAACTTAAGGCTTGGTTCAGATGCCAAGAACCTAAATTTGATAGTGGTAAAGATATAGGAATTTGATAGAAACTGCAGTGTGTATTTCATAAACTTCTAACCTCTGAGCAAGTATTTGGAGATTTTATTTAGTGAGCAAAAGATGTATCTAAAAAGCGTCGCAGGATGTACTGGCTTGAAAATTACATTTTCCACGCACCCAGTGGGTTTCCAACGGTGCCAGTGCAGGCAGGAAGCTGAGGCAGGGGAAGACAGGGCCAGCAGGAGAACTTCCGCGTGGGCTCCCTCTTCACGGGGCAGCCTGGGCTGGGCCCGGCCCCCGGGGGACACCTCCGCTTGGACCCCACGATCGGGGTGCTGGGGACAGTTCGCCAGCACAGAGCAAGGGGCATGTTTGGTTCCACGTCACTTCCTGTCCTAAGGCCTAAGCAACATGGCCCACTGCTCACGATACACACAGACTTCCTATCCTGAAGGAATCAACGTAAAGCTATGCAGAAGGAACTTGAACTAGGTAAGACGACCTGGGAGAACGCCCCCGCCCCAAAGTGCTTTCTGCCAAGAGGCAATTTTTGGAACCCGGTGCGTCACCTTTTGGGGGGACGGGGGCAGCTCTGGCCCCTGGACCTCCGCTTCAGGCGGGCCGCTTCGGTTCCGAGCTCGCTCTGCAGCGCCTCCCCGTCGGGCCCGCTCCCGGGCTCCAGAACCGCAGGCGACGGCGCCGGGCTCAGCACGGCGGGCCCGGGGAGTCCGTCCCTGGTGCAGGTCGTGTGCGTTTCGTACCGAATGAGCCGAGACTGCAGTTCTGAAAATCCCCCGTCTCTCTCTAAAGCCTTCCGGTCGTCCAGGCAATATCTAGACGAGGCCAAAGATGGTGCAAATGAGCGCATGTAGGAGAACACGGGCGAGCCGGCTCCAGGCCCTCCCGAGCGCCGCCCACGCGCAGACCCGGGCGACGGCCGCCCGCAGGCTCCGCGCTCCGGACAGCGCGAGGGCTTCAGAGTGTAAAGCACAATCTGACTTCTCCTCCGCCGTGTTTCTGGGGAACAGACTGAGTGCGCCCAAGGCGTACTTCCGAAATAATACTGCTGCTGTTATTAACACCTCCTAAAACGCTAGGACCCGCAGGCTTCCCAGCACCGCTGATCTATACCAAGGTGAAAGGAGGACTTCCGTTAAAAACAGCGAGTTCGTTTTCAAGAGATGAAGTGTGTATAAAAGCATCCTACACTGCTCTCCACGCAGCTCTGAGCATCCTCACTTCTGCTAAGGCTAAATCCTCATCTGACTGACAGGTTTTCCCTCAAACCTCTGGCTGTCTGGAGATCCGGTTCCCAGCTAAATCGGATTCAGGAATCAATGAAACGTTAGCCCAGCACATGCTCGCTTCTAGGTTCAAAGCAATCCCATGGTTGCTACGCACAACCAATAAGCATATGGGAGAAATCACGCCTGAGAAACACGGCCTCGCCGAGGTCTTCCCTTTCCTCCCTTTCCTCTCCTCCAGCACAAAGGGGAGCTGTGCACGGTCTCACGCACAGGAAGGGCTGGAAAATTAATCCCTGTCACTGTGACTGTCCTTTTTCACCTGTAAAATTCCAACATGGCCCCTCAAATCAGATTTCTGGGATTCAGCTTCCAAGGAGTGGATCATTATCCAAACAGCTGACTGCTTGGTGGAGGTTTTAAAAACTTTATCTTTCCAACGTGCCACTTAGATACTGGATTTCGAAGAAGCCAGACTACGATATCTAATTCAGGCTAGTAAATCCCTGGACTTAAATCCGGGCTCATCTACTTCCTAGCCGTGTGAACTATGCTTCTTTTGCCTGACTGCAGCGTGAGATTTATAGTACTTATGCCCTTATCTGAAAGAACTATTGGGAGGATTGCTTGAATGGTACATAGGAACATTTAGGATCAGTGGCTGGGGCATGGGCGCGAAACAGGCAATAAATCTATACTGCCATTACTATCACCATCAGTATTAGATTTATTTTCTGCCACAGCACATCTCAGAGCGTGCTAAAAATATACACCAGAGTGAGAATTTAAACCCAGCTCGGTGACTTCAGAGCCTGATTTAGTACACTGTCTTCTGTAAGGTTAGGGTTGCACAGTGCCTGCCTGGTAAGTGCAAGGTCGTGAGTTCGATTCCCGATATCAAAAAAACCAACAAAAAAAAAACCAAAAAGCCAGGCGTGGTGGTGCAGGCCTGTAATCTCAGCACTTGGGAGGCTGAGGCAGGAGGATCGTTGCGAGTTCGAGACCAGCTTGGGCTACAAAGTGAGCTCAAGCCCAGCCTAAACTGCATAGAGAGACCCTGTTTCAAAAAGACAAAAAAAAAAAAAGGTTTACGGTCATCTGGTGACCAGCAGTGGTCAACATAAGGCTGAATATTAGAATCGCCCCAGGACCCACTCCATGTCAAAAGTTTCTCATTGAATTGGTCTGTGGTGGGAACTAGTCACTGGCATTTTTTAAAAGCAACTATGTAAGACTATGGCTGTGTTAATTTTTTGACTACAGGAGTCATTTCGTTATGTATGCTTATCAAAACATCATGTGATACATGCATCTTAAATACACACAACTGAGACGTGTGCTTAGGCGATGCTAATGTGGGCCAGGATTAAAAACATCTCCAATCTAAGCTAAGAGTTTACTGTAATTGGTGAGAAAACTGACGCTTCAGTGAGAATGTTAATTGGTGGCACATCAGGGACTAGAACTTAGGTCCCTCAATTCGCTAATATTCTTTCTTTAATATGTTGTTTAATAAAATGTATTTCATTAAAAATCAGCAACTACAAGTGTGTCTGTGAGTTTTACTTCTATCCTAGGCAAATGACAAATACTAGAGTAAAATTAAGAGCTATGAATTTTTAGAAAGTTCCAGGCAAGAGGTAATGTGATGCCTGATTGGTGTGAACACAGGGAATTTGGGGGGAAAAGATGCACATTTTCATTGTAAGAATGTTTTTTTCTACCTTAACATTCTGTTTCTACAGTGCAGACATTTTTCTTCCAGTTGTCTCTTGACCACAGCTGTTCTTATATCATCCCCTCAACCCAATTATCTATGCTGTACGAGTTCACTTTAATTGCCCTTAAAATGATTATACTATGATTTGTCACAGAAACAAAAGGTTCTTTGTAAATTAGAAAAGAAAAGAAACAGAGTAATGGCATACATTTGATTTTAGTTAAATATTTATCGCAGGATGAATGATTACAATCCCATATTTTCTTATAAAACAATAACCCAAGTTTTATGGGTCCTAACAGAGAAGAATGCCCCTAAGATAACAAAGCTATTTTTGCTTTGTAACTAAAAAGACAGATAAAAGACTATCGCGTAGCCGGCAACAGCAATGAATTCAGGGGAAAACTGCCAAATCGTCTGGAATAGATGAAAGAAAATTTTCAAAGCCAGAGGAGAGGCCGGGTGTGACAGTGTGACTGCCACGCCATGACAGCAGAGGTTCACCTGCTGTGTGGAAAACACACTTTCCCCTCAGGGGCCCTTACCTTCCAGGAAGGGGAACACACGAAAGAAACAAGCCAACGGTGCCTGGACTGCACTCGACCTTAATTAAGAAACACCAATTTGCACCTAAGCAGTTAACGTATTTGTTTCCAAACGGTCCTTTCTGTCAGAGGAGGGGAGGGGCTTGGGGGCTTCCAAGGCACAGGGCAACATAAGAAGAAATGGTTTTCTCTGCGGGTTTTGTATTTCCTTTAATATTTCCTTTGAATGTTGGTTTCTACCCCATTACGCTGAACATAAACAGGCCGTCGCTATACACACCCAAATCTTCTAGGAAAAAACACGTCTGGAATAGCAGCGCTGCCTCCCTGCAACTTTGCTTTTCCTGTCCCAGTGTCCCTTGTTCAGGGAGCATACATTTATAGGAAAGAAAACCAAGTTCAGCCAGATCCATGCGTGCACACTTGATCTTGGAGGTAGGAAGGACAGAGCAGAGGACAGACAGCCGACACCTCCAGTATGAAGGAGTCTCTTGCCGGGCACGTGTTCAGAGGGACAAATAAATTAGGCCCTCCAGGAAAGAACCCTCAACTACAACTTCATTTCATATTTTAAAAGTGAATGTCAAAGATGACATATCTTTTACAAGTTCCATAAACTTATGGATTCCATTGAAATTTTTCAATGGTGAACTAAAGACAAGGAAAGAAAACTAGGGGGATGACACTCAGGATGAACAGACCCTAAATTACAGTATTTGGGGAAACATAACCTAAAGTACAGTTACGTGACAGGCACCTCAGCCAGCTGTGAAGATGGAATTATCAGAGCTCATTTTATTCCAATCAGTGCTTGGAGGAGTTTATGGGACCAAAGAAGCAAAAAAGACATTTGTCCTGGGGTAAGTTTTTCGTCCCCACAGCAAAGAATATGTTTTTCTCCTATATAAACAGTGTTTCCTGGTTTTAACTTTCAGATTCAACTTTTATGCAAAATACCTTAAAAAGTGCTCTTTTTAAAGATAGAATAAATTAGGAAACGCTAAAAGTATTGCACAAAATGAAGGATATACTGTTTCACAGGTCACGGAATATGAAAAAGAAGTTTTAAATATAGTTTTAGAAGTGAAGAGAAAATGAAATTGAGAATATGGGGAACAAAGTTTTCATTTTCCATAGCAGAATCAGTGATATCTTACAGGAAGACACTAAAAAACACCAACAGAAGGATAGCTTCTAGAAAAGAGAAGTGCTGGCGGGGAAACGAAAACCAAATAAAAAAGGTTTTTCTGAAAACCGAGCCTGGACACTAGCAGCAACAAAGACTTTGTTCTTGTTACAAACTTTTCTGTGATGTTTAAGCAAGAGGTTTGTAGTAAAATAAAAAGGGCAGAGAAAGGCTACATGAAGATAACAGAAATAGCTGACAACAAAATGGCAAAATAAATAACACAGACATCGACCATCGACCACTCTGCTAGGAAACAATGATCTTCATAAGTTCTCAATTTAGTCTCATGCAATATAATAGACAGGTTACAAAACAAAACAGCAGTACTTATTCAAAAAGAAGCATGCTACTTCCTCTTCCTACAATCTGAACCTTTATGAAGAATCAAGCCTTGTACTATTTTAATTTATGGAAAATTAGTATAAAAATAATGGCTTACTTTCAGAATGTGAAAAATTTTGCAAAATGAATCACCAGGAAGGTAAAATTCCACTGTAAAATATATCAGCAGCAACTTCCATTTCCTGCCCCTGTGAAAATGGCAGGTAAGCACTTGACCCCTGAAACTGCTAACACCATTTAGCAAGAGAATCCCTAAAACGGCCAATTAAAATCCTGTAAAGAAGTATACATAATTTACATGTTAAACAGGGACACATCCCATCTCATATAGTTTCTAGGCAATTACAGTGCAATTAGTGACCAGAACATTAAGGTGAACCATACTGCAAATACACGTTAGCAATGCGGGGGCCAAAATAATGCTGACTAAAGTATCTCCTAACTGATAAGAGGGCTTTACATGATGTAAAACTGCTAAGCACCAAATAACTATTTTCTTCAATGGAGGACAACTTATTTGTATATGTGCTACTTTTTTTGCTGTTGTTTTTTAGGGTTTTGATACGCTTTCTCCTTGGTTTTGTCTCCATGTCTGTTATTTCATTAGTCTCTTTTCACACTTTCATGAGAGGAGCTACATGAATCATGAGCAGAAAAGTACAAATAAATAAAAACTTACTCAATTCCATGATAATGACACACTGAGGCTTTCTCAAAAGGTAAGACCCGAAGTTTCCCAGGACTAAGTTCTGGTGTCAAAACAAAAGTCTTGTCCCTGAAATAAAAAGTTTTTTGTTAGTATTTAAACTTTATTTAGTGACAGAGAAAGAGTCTAAAGACACCAATCTGACTTCCTCTCTCTGAACCTGGTGTCAAAGGTCAAAGGTCACAGTGCACCAGGAAGCCCGAGGAGGCCAAGGCAGCAAGGGCAGGTCTGTGGGATTTGCCACTTCTATTTTCTGTACCTCCAGCTTTTGACATTAGGATATGACTTATTACACAATACTATTCTGGGAAATGGGTAGATCAGAATAGAAAATGATCTGGAATGGAAGTTCAGGAAGTAAGATTATTTCTAAAAGTTCTACTTTTTGGGGGGGTGAAGTACATTCCTATTTATTCATTGAAACAAGGCAATAATTAAAGTTAGCTTTTTGGCAGGGGGATAATTTGAGTGAACTTGAAACTCTGACAACAAAAGAAGTCTTTATTTCCCACCATAATGCTGATGGGACTCCGGTCTTGGGCTGCCTGACAACGCAGTGAGCCTGGTGTGTAATTTCTGTGGGAGCAACTTTCTAATCTCAGCAGGAAGAGACACATGTGGACTTCATGTGTCAGACTGCTCCCGGGTGAAAGTCCATAAAATTTCACGCTCAACCCCTTCCACGCCCGAACCTGCGGGGACCGGTCCCAGTGGGGAGAAGGAGGTCGCTGCGTTCAGAATAATCCCCTCGCTTATTCTGCCTGGGTCAGGACCCACCGTTCTTACGAAGCTCATCACAGTCCTGACATTCAGAACTCGCTAGGTTAATGCGAGAACTGCCCAACACTGGCTTTCACACGGCTCTGAAGCGGAGTAAAGTACCAGGGACTTTGCATTCAGGACAGATGGAAATGCTACACAGAAAGGCGAGCGCGTACGCGAGTACCAAGAATAAACTTGCTGACGTATTTCCCTCTTAGGACACTAGCAATGAAAACTGCTCTTCTGCCATTGGAAATAATATAAGGTACTATGAACAGTATTTCAAATTATTACATAAAAGGTAAAGCATGTGCCCATTCATGAATCCTAAAATACAATTCTGATATTCTAAACTATTCCAAAACAAGTCCTGAGTAAACTGCAGGGACGCTGGCGTTCTGAGGACTGTTTATTGAAACGAGTAACTGAATCGGAGAGACCTCTTTAAGTGTCCGGCATTTCAGCCGTCCCCCTCCCTGTTGTCTCCCATTTCTCAGGTCAAACCTTCCCTCTCAGCATCTATTTTTCTCTGAGTTTCTCTTACAGCTTGTTCGTTCTAAATGGCACACTGTACAGACGGATGGGTCAAGCTTGCGCTTTAACAGGGCCTTGCGGATGGCTCCTGGCACAGGCAGACGTTTAGTGAGATCGCGTAGACTCCTGGCTCTGCCCAGGGGGTTCCTCCTCCAACTTTCATGTGAATGGAAGATACATCTGATAATGAGCCACACAGTTCTTTCCTGACATCAAGAATTACACGCAACTTTCCCAAATAAATCGCCTGTTAACTATACAAAGAATTACCGCCCCCCAACACTGCATTTAGAAAGACATGGTAAGAAAAGAAATCTACCTACATAGATAAATAATTCGGTTCTGGCACACTCATCAGGCTGCAGTTCATGCATAATGATTTGAAAGGAGAGTAATGTATAAACTAAGTAGATGAGACTCTATACTACTGTCTTAATTCCCACAAAATAGGGTTAGCACTCTCTCAAAGCTCCGAGAAAAGGAAAATTATTCCAAAATTACCTAACTTTTATGTCATTAAGATAATTAAGTCATTAAAATCCAGAATTATTAAGATGCTTTCAAAATTGCTCCCTCTCTCTCTCTGCAGTGAATGCACACAAAAGACAAACATGCTATAACAATATTTTTGAGATGTAACTACCTTCAAATTAATCTTCTTGAAAATTTACCTTCAGAATCAGAAGTCATCACAGCATAATTCAACACACGGTTTGTAAAAAACAAAAAATCAGACAATTTTAAAGACCCTTAGGAGGTTTTCAAAATAATGGATTAACAATTAGAAAGAAATTAGGCAATGAGCAAATTATTCGATCTCCACAAGTAGCCAGTGTCATAGTTCTACTTATTCTCCAATCCACTTCCGCAGCATCCAGCATTTGTTAACCAGTAACACAGAGGAAGCTGTCTTAGAAGTGAAATTAGCTGTAAATTATTCACACAGATGCTGAGGTCTTGGTAATGTCACAGTGTTAAAAAGCCTTTTTATTACATTTCCCACCCTCGTCAATTAAAAGGCTCTGGTTTCTGCTAGTATTAGGCATAAGTGACAATGATAACGCCAAGTACAGGCAAAATCCAAACTGGCAAGTAAAAAAGAATTTAAAACATTTTTATTTGGGATTCGAAATGTACTTATTTCCTAAAAGGTGCTGTCCTTTGTGTATAAAGCAGAAGTCAGTAAATTCTATAAGGAATGTATTTAGGTCTCATTTATTATTTCTATTTCCCTTATATTCAATATCACAAGCCTGTAGGGCATTTGGATAATAGAAAAAGTCAGGATTATAGCTGGGCAGAGTGGTACATGTCTGTATTCCTAGCACTCTGGGAGGCTGAGGCAGGAGGATCGCAAATTTGAGCCCAGCATGGAAAACTTAGCAACTTAGTAAGACCCTGTCTCAAAACATAAATAAGCAAACAAACAAAGAAACAAAGAGCTGAAGATGCAGTTCAGAGTGAAAGGCCCACGACCACCCCTCAACCCTCAGAAAAGCGATGACACAAGGCCAGCTGCTGAACACCAGAAGCAAACTGTGATCTGCTGAAGCAGCACGGAGCGTCAGCCAAAAGCATGCAATGCCATGTGGCTTTAAATGATTCTTAAGAGTTAGCTGGACACCCTAAGTCTTCAACGTACCCCTTCTGCAGGGGCAAAGGCTGGAGGTCTCCCACAGGCAGTCCATCAGAGGTAAAGTACTTGAGCAGCTCCTTAGCATCCAGCAACAGGACCGCATCTCGGGGGCCCTCTTTATGGCCCAGCAGCTGCTCCGAGGACTGAGGCAACGAGCCGGCTCTGGACAGATAAGGTTATGCAGGTTTAGTACAGATGCACATTCACCACTGCTCAGAAAAGGTGATAGGGACAGAAACCAGAAAAACACACAAGGAAAATGGGAGCATTACACATTTCAGAAAAACAATGAAGTAAAATCTTTGCAAATCAGTTTCAAACTATATTTTCAAAACATCTGTGTCACACTGAAACTTGGAGAGGCCACGTCAATAATTCTACTTAAATATAAAAAAAGCATAATTTCACCGCTTATAAAAGATGGTATATTAATTATTCAGTAGTATGAAGTGACCACTTCTATAAATTTAAAATCTAAATTTCCATGTTTTGAAACCCTCTAATATCATAGATTTCTGAGGGCAAGGACTGAATGTTTCAATTTTCTATGAACTTGAAAGATTACTGAAAGCCCAACCATGAAATGAGACAGTAATCGGGTTCTCTCCAAGGTCTGTTGTCACCATGATCACGGCACTCTGCGGAGCCCCTGAATCGCTGCCACATCTGAAATAGGTACAGGACACTACACTCTGCAAATTGCCTTACCTACAGTGTGTTCTTCATCCGGAAAAACCCCTTAAAAAAGATGGGATGGCTCTTATTTCAGAATGAAGTAACACCCAAACATATGTACTTTATAAAGTGAAAACTGAATCTAAAAACAATCATTACTCCTATATTTCAGCTAATGAGACTGGCACAAAACAGGTTACATTACAGACCCGGGTGACACAGTTATTTAAAATGACACTCAGTACAGTACTGACTCCAAAGTAGGCACTACTTCTGTATCACTCTGTAAGTCAAAAAAGCTCACAGGAAGTTGTAAATATTGAAAAGAGGAAGATAGTTTTATCAAGCACTCAATTACTGCTCACCATCGCTGTCCCTACAACATAAATTATTACTATTTTTTGCTGGGTATGGTGGCACACACTTGTCATCCCAGCACTCTGAGAGGCTGAGGCAGGAGGATCACAAGTTGGAGCTCAGCCTGGGCAATGTAGCTTAACATAAAAAATAAGAAGGGACCGAGGATGTAGTTCAGTGTGACGGACCTGGTCTCAATCCCTCAGTACCAGACGACAACAAAACAAACACATCTTTCAATACTTGCATAGAAAACTGACTTCCTAAACTTGTATGAATTTATTTCCTGCGTATTTTGTTACTCAAAATGAGCATTTTTATTGATAATTACCTGATTAAAATACTGCCCTGGGTTTAGATCCCTATTTCTACACATTAAGGATCATTCACATGCTCACGGTGCCCTTTCCCCTTTTTTACTCCTTTCTTTTGAGGGGGTGCTGGGAATTGAACTCAGGAGCTCATGCTTGCCAGGCAGGCGCTGTGCCATTGAGCTATGTCCCTGGCCCTTCCCTTTATTTTTAAATTGAAACTATAAATCTAAAAAAAAAAGGAAAGAAAATATAAATAAAATCAAAACAGCCAAACGAGAAAACCCTTAAATACATCCTCTGAACTTCACAGTCTAAGAGGGCAGGAAGGGCATGCACAATTTAATTTAATTTCTGTGTGCGTCCTGTCTGTGACTGACAAAGGCTTCTTAATGAATATTATTCTCCATTCTGCAGACCAGCTATAGCGGCGAAATGTACGATTTGCATTTATATAGAACACAAACACATGATATCGAAGCAATTTAAAAGCCTTGCTTGTGATAAATTACACTACCAAGATATGTCTCGGTTAAAAAAAATAGTAACACTGACAACACCTGATTGTGTTTAGCGTTTTTTAAGCTTGGAAGCTAATTTTTCATAGATTCTCTCATTAGATTTTCACAATTTTGAAGCAAACCTGGGATTTTTATCCCCAACCTAAGAGGAAACAAGGAAGTCACATGACAGGTGATTATGTCTAAAACCAGACCCTGATCCTGAAACTCACTGTATAGCGATACATTATTTGCAGACTAAATCTGTTTTAATGCAAAGCAAATTCTAAAAAATACACAACACGTCTTCTGTCCATAACCAAGAACCCGACTCCAGATCTGCGGTGTGTCCGTGGTATTTGAGCACTTACTGTGTGCACATCAGTGCGATGTAACAGGAAGCGTTCACAATAGTCTACAGACCCGTAATTGTCGCTCCTGCCTGACAGGACATGAACGTACCAATGGGGAATGAGGCAGAGACAGCACAGCAAAGTGTGGTGGGAGCAGCAGCAGCAGCAGCAGCAGCAGCGCAGTCCTTGGACGTTTACAGAAGGAACTGCAGTGTGTGAGAGGTTTCCAGAGAAGGGTGGCGTTTGGCCTGGACCTGGCCTGACAAACAAGCTTCAAGACAGCAAGGCTCAACATGTGACATGCATCAGCCTCACTAATGGAACGAGCTGAAATCCCAGTACTGAAGCACTGGAGAGTAAATTCATGATACAGTTAAGGAAAGGAAAAGAGAAGGAAAAGTGGACCCAAAAGTTCAGTAAGTTTCAAAGTGGGGTAAACTAGGGCAGTGATGGCGAACCTTTTAGAGCTTTCCGTGATAACACCACAGGCTGCTGCATGCGTGCCACAGGTTCGCCACTGTTGAACTAGGGCAACCGCCTTTCCAAGAACTATGGAGAGACACATATTAATGGTAAGCGCTGTCGTCTTCCCTTCCCGGGAAGCCACGCAGGGCTCTACTTCTGGGTTACTGAGTGGGTTCAGCACGGATCAAGGCGACATATCGTAAGACCTGCACCAGGACTGCGGCACTCACGCCTCCCTCCCACACACCCTACCCCTGTGCTTTTCATCTCCCTGTTCTTAAAAACACAGAAACTTCCCTGGAAGGTACACAGCCTTGTACCTGCCCCAGAGTCTGCTGCGGGCCCAGGATAAAGCCCCAACTTAGTGTAAGTCAGGGCCAACTCTACCGGCCCGTCCCTGGCTGCGCACCCTAAAGCAAGCTCCACCCTGCACCCTCCCCAGGAGGAAGGGAGGGCCTAGCAAAAGGGAGACGCAAGCCACAGCCTGGTCCTGACTCCTTCCCTGGAAGAGACCGTACGGGCTGCCGGACACTGGAGGAGAACGATGGAAAAGAGAAAAAGCCCAAAAGGACAAAAACAAGCAGCTCGAAGGAGCATGAGACCATCCAGAAAACACACTGAAATGAACAGAGAAAAGAGTACCTTCACAGTATCACCTCCAGTCTCCAGAGGACTAAAAGACCATGCTGCTATGAAAAAAATAGGGCAGAAGTACAGGAAAATGTGTTAGGAACTTAAGACGTGAGTACCACCACCAAAAAGATTAACAGAAATGAAGAAAGCAAATGTAAGGAAATACCCACCCAGGGACATACAGTCAAAAGGACAAAGAAATAGATTATAAACAGAAAAAGCAAATTTTGAATTTAAAATATCCAGGATGTTTAATGTTAATTAAAACAGGTATTTCAGAGAAAGAAGAAAACAAGCAAATAGAGGGATGATTAATGAAGAAATAAAGTATTTCGCAGAGCTGAAAAAAGACAAAAATTTTTTTTTTTGTCATTTTGAGACAGGGTCTTGCTATGCAGTTCAGCCTGGCCTTGAGCTCACTTTGTAGCCCAGGCTGGTCTCGAACTCCCAACGATTTTCCTGACTCAGCCTTCTGAGTGCTGGGATTACAGGCATGCGCCACCACGCCCGGCTCTGAAGACAAAAATCTTGAGACTAACATCCTATAACCATGACCTCAGGAAATTTCAAAACAGTAAGGAAAATGGAAAACTCTAAAAGTTCTAGAGACAGAAACTGACTGGCAACAGACTTCTCTCTAAAATAGGAAATCCAGGGAAGTCCTGGGCTCATCCAGGAAGGAGGCTGAGCGCATCCCGCGGCGACTCACAGCTGTGCAGGGGACAGTGCTGGCCCAAACCAGCGAGAAGCCGGAGAGGGGCGAGAACAATCGCTGAAGAAGGAGCAGAACTGTCCATTGCAAGACAGAGAGAGGATGGAGGGGAGGGAAATGGGGCTACATCATCTCTCGTCCAGGGAGATGGAAGACACTGCCTACAACTACGGGGCGAGAGACGCGGGTCCTCCGGGCCTCCCACTCTTCCCGACTGTCTTCTCTGGAACCTGTAAACGCTCCAGATACTCCAAGGGACGGTCTCAGTCCTTTCCCTCTTCTCCTCAGGGCCTCACCCTGTGTCCTGACTCCTCCTGTGGCTGACTCCACACTGAGGTGCGGTCTCCCCTCCACGAGGCCACTTGCTATTCCCTTGTGGGTACTTAGAGGGCAAACTTAGCGCCCCTAAAGCACGCTTGCTGACTTTTCTCTCTAAAATTATTCTCACGACCAACATCCCAGCAATCTTGTCCGTTCCGTGAGAACATCGCTCGCTGCGTTGTGAAAGCCAGCAATCCAAACTGCCTTGCACGTCTGTTTCCCTCTCCCTATCCAAGCCACTACCGGAAGGGTTTTCCAGCTTACCACCAAAGTACACCCCAAGCTGTGCTATGGTCTAGTTTGAGCTCCGTTCTCTCTCACTTCGCCTACAGAAAAGACCACCTATCAGATCTCTCTGCCCCCAGTTTCTCCCTGTGCAAGCTATCTGCCATAAAAGAGCAAAATTTGCTTACGAGATTAGACGCCATCACTCCTGGCATAAATAACACAATCACCAGCCTCTGCCGCTGTGGGCTTCACCCTCGATCCACGGCGTAACTTACAATTATTATATTCGCAGGTCTGGGCCCTCGCTTGCTCCTGACTGTCTCTTGGGTTAAAGGAAAGGGGCGGTGCTGGTGCCTCCCCAAGTGCGTGACAACTGGTGTTCAGTAAATACGTGCTAATGTCCATGAAGGAAAGGAGAGGCAGGTCATAAAAGGACAGCAACAGAACAACTAACAGTAACGGCATGGTTTGCAGTGTTTGGGATGAGGGCAGTGTGCGAGGGCTTGGACTCCACCGCTTCACAACTAGGTACTTCGTGCTTGCTTTGTACTGCAGCACAGGACTAAAACCACAACCAAACATGAACGCTGCCTCCCGGAGAGAACTGCAGGGGCTAGGTGAGCGCGCAAGGACACAAAATGGGAACCAGGTGCTTCAGTGAGGGGACTATGTCTACTTCGTTTAACATGGTTCCGTACTAAGTCTTCCTATGCCCAGAGAACTGTACCCCAAAATGTTCACCGTGATTGCGTACACCTGCAAGGTGCAGAGAGAAGGTAGAGGAACACAAGCATTTCCCAGTTCATGAATATACTACTCTTGATCATCCACTTTCAGGAAGCACACACTGCTTTCATAATACAACTATAAACTAATCGCATGTCATAATAAAGGGTTAAGAAAGTTCATATAAAAATGCTGAGCTACAGTGTGCTGTCTTACAGACTCAAATATTACCTCAGTTTTTGTCTAGCTTTTCCAAAAGTTTCCAAATTTTGAAGAACATGCTTTTCTGGCCATTCCAAAGAACTGGTTTCCACTAGACTTGAAGAGTCAGGTTCTCCTCGAGTGGCAGCTAAAGAGAAAGAAATACCCGTAAGAACTGAAGAGTTAACATACTGAATTCTGTTATATAAAAAATATGAATACAAGTATACAAATACATAAATGCACCTTATGTTAGTTGCATAGGACTTAACCCAGGCATTTATTAAAGATCTCTCTGGTGGTCTGAACTGTAGGAAATGCCATAGAGAAGTTTGTTGGAAATGAATAAAATACCTCATTAAAGTAAAAGTTACTTGGAAAACTGAAAAACCAGCACTGTTAGGACTCATGAAATAAAAGGATAACTCCATTATTTTTAGTAAAATTATTCCTAAATGAAAAAGGGGCAACTCTCTAGAGAACATAATGGATGTACTATGTGATTTTTACATGCTAAACTGGACTTAGTACAAATAAACTGGAAAATGTCATCTTCCAAAATTCCAAATTCCAAAAACAGATTATTTCATTCTCAAAGGTATAATAATAAAATGATAAATACAGGGATTGTTCTCAGATAAAGGCTACTTTAGGAATAATCCTTATTTTTAAATTAATATAAAATAACGACACACATTTCCTCAAATCACTAACATTTCAAGTGCTATTTCACACTGTGATGTTCCATCTGGACTGCTGACTTGATTGGCTTAAGCGTCACTGAGGAGAGCAGTGAAAGGCCCTCCTGGGTGTCTGTGGGTGGGTAGTGGCATGCGACATTAAGGGCCAGAGCTGGTTACAGCCCGTTCCCCTCCAACTCTCTTCACTACCCTCTCAGCTTCCTGGGTGTCCTGAGTCTAGCGGTTTCCTCCGCCAGGCCCTCCCTTCATGACCTACCTCCTCCGCCAGGCCCTCCCTTCATAACCTACTTGCTGGGAGTCAGCCAACCATGGACTGAAACCTCTGAAACCACAAACTGAAGTCAACCTCTCTCCTTTAAGCTGCGGGTGTTGGGTGTTGTGTCCCAGCAACAGGAAGCTGACCCATACAGTTACTAATAAGCATATGTAAGACTGTCTTTTCTAGCTAACATGCTGCTGTGAACTACAGTAAGACTATTCCTAACACTGGGACCATAAACAAAAACCTAAAGGGACAGCATCTTTTCTCATTAGAAATTATCAGCACACCCAAACTGTGTTAACACTGGCAAAATTACTAACTATACTACTTTTTTGGAATTCTAAAACTGTATGGTTTTAAACCCTGTTTTGAACTACTACATATTGGTTCTAGTAACTGGCAGAAAATTATTAGCTGTTTATCATCAACAGTATCAACAGAGATACTTGTTTCAAAATGTGTGGTGATCTTTTAAAAAATGATTTGGTAGAGAAATTTTTCAACAAAAAAGTTTTTAAAAATGAAAACAGAAACCTGTATATTATTTTCCCTTGTTAAACTATTTCACACTGAAGATTTAAGAATACTTTCAGTACCTATACTGGATTGCCCTCTCCAAACACCATACCACTTCCCACTTCTTAATAAGGATAGTGAAATATTATTTTATAGCATAATGAGATTTATAATAATGTAATATGCTTCTTAATGGAGACATGGCTTTCCACTAAGGGAAAAAAAAAATCAATAGCAATTCTGCACAATTGCACGCTGTGAATTCATAAGAGAATGCAAGCCATCCTTAAAAAAGTATTAAACTGTCTTTAAACATTACAATATAGTGAATTTTTAACCTTGCCATACAACCTACATAAATGACACAGGTTAAATATTTAAGAATGGGTAGACAAACATTCATACATGTCTCACCTTTAGGAAAATAACAATATACTCTTTACAGCAAAATAAAGTATAATATTTTATTTATGGGTCAGGACACTATTCCTTGCTGACACCAGAAAGGTACAGAAAGGTTCTCTGAGAAACCAAGAAGGCTCTTTTAAATTTTTTTAAAAAGTGTTTTATTTTATTGGTGAACAAAGAAATCAAACCAATACAATAGGGAAATAGAGAAAAGGGACCGACAGAATCTCATGTCACAGCAAACAGAAAGGAAGTGATATCACTGGTGACCAGACATAGTTGATGAGGTTAAGGCCTAATCTCACACACCTAAACGTAAGTCACAAAGGAAAGGTTATGTTGTTACCGGTATAATCTGTTTAATAAAATGAGAATTAGAAATGCACACTAGAAAGTTCATCTTTAAATGTCCGAAAAAATAAAACTATGACCTTGCATAATGAGCCAGCACACTCAGGTATGCCGCGCTTGATGTGCCCAGGGGTCCCGGTGCAGGAGACCATGGCTGCATTATGAGCCTGGATAGCACATGTGCCACTGCGGAAGTTTTCTCCAACTTTGTGGAAAAGAGTAAACACAATGGTGAGATTAAGGCTTTTTCTACATAATAATTTGACACTTGTCACACATACTAGAGTATTTGTAAAAACTGAGCTGACCAAATAACCTGACCAATTGCTAATAACTTCTAAGGTCTATGCTGCAAATAACAGGTCAAAATAGGAAATCTGATTGACCTTGCTGTTACTACAGGTAGTGTAATTTACATGGAGAATATTTACTCAAATCCAAGCTACAAGGATGTGAGGAGTCATGCTCACACTGACAGCCTGCACGGTTTCAGCTCAGGCTCAGAGCTCAGTTTCAGAGTTTCTTTCATTCATTTAACAAGGATTTGGGGGAGCTCCCCCACCCGTGTGCCAGGTACTGTACCAGGCTCTGTGGACACACAGAGCAAGTGGGCATGTGCTTTACGCTCAGAGAACAGGGCTTAGAGAGAAGACAAACACTTAATAAAGAACTGCACAGATGATATGTAATTTTAAAATGTGACAAGTGATTTGAAGAAAAACTAGGGAACAGTACAAGAAGAAATCATTTAAGTGGAGCAGGGTCAGAAAAAGCCTCTCTTCGAAATACACTGAAGTGGGCTTCTGAACTGGGCAAGAGGCGGGACAGAATTCCAGGTGGAGGACCGGTGAAGGTGGAGGTTGTGAGCGGGAAGGGCACGAGACTTGTCCGAGGGACGCAGAGCCCTCCGTGGTGGTCAGGAAATGGGCCTGCGCCCTGGAGGAGCACAAGGCCAGGCAGCCCGCAAAGCACGTCGAGGATGGTGCACCCCGCGTGCACCTGGATTCCACCAAAAAGGCCTGGGAAAGTAGGGGAGCTGCGCTCGCGTGGGACAGGACCACTCCTTCAGCTGGGCGTGACAGCGGCAGCCGAGGTCCGACCCCTACAGGTAGCTCTGAACGTGTCCGTGTGAGATCCCTCGCCACTGCCTGTGCTTCTCCCGCCTTTCAACCCTCCCCTCTCCTGTGCAGACCCTCGGGGAAGCCACACAGTTCCCCTTTCCTTAGCTTCATGACGGGTTGTGCTGTCTCTTCTCTTTGGAAAATCCTGTCTTATTCTCTCTACAGACTCGAAGCACCACTCAAGATCCCCCTGGAGTCCCCTGGCTCCTGCCAAGCCTCCTGCGACTACCCTGCCCCACTTACAGCTCTCCTTTCTCAATTTACATGGAGTTACTTAGCCAAAAACCATGTGGCGCTCACTCCACACCAGGCAACCTTCTATGCAAGGTGCAGGTAATTAATTTCATCTTCATAACCACCTCATCCCCAAGTTAAAGAGGTCAGAAAACGCACCCACGGTCACACAGCGGGTGAGCGGCAGGGCCAGCATCCAGCCTGGCTGCCAGCACAAAGCGAAGCTCCTGCCCTGATCCAAACACATGCCCCGTCGCCAGCGCCTTCACCATCTCCCCGGGGCCTTTCCAGTGACACTGGCTGCCGGTGAACCTCGGTACTGATACGGACCGAGGGTGACAACAACACAAGCAACAGCCTGTCTGTCCTTCCTGGTGCTGCGAGCACCAACTCGTTAACCCTCACGAGAGCCCCAGTCACCCGCACGGGGGCCCTGGCCACAGGCTGTATTATTTTCCCACTCAGCACACGGGGAACAGAGGTGACATAACACGCCCCAAACCACTCGGCTAAGAAGTGACAATCTTGAGACTTGGACCTTGGCCGAGAGTCTGTGTTCTTAAACCCGGCACTACGTGCTGCTTTTATACCTTGCTTTGCAAACAGACCCTAATCTTACTGAAAGCCAAGGACTGGCATTTTCGCTTCTTCATGTAACTTCAGCATCAAATACACAAAAGGCATTCAGAAAACATTACGGCTAACTTGATTCTGTGATCATTTCCTCATTAACCCATGCAACAGAATTATTCTCACAAAATAAAACCCCAAAACTGTCCTCTATATTTAAAATTGTGCCAAACGATCTTCAAAGGCTTTCTTGGTAGATACTGAAAAGCTTTGCTCTATTCAAATTCATCACAACACCAGAATCCAGGAAAATAGAAATCCAATTAAATATTGAAATGATCTGTGCCTCCTCTGTGTATGTCGGTGAGTGTCCCAGCCCTAATGACTGGCAAATGTGATGCATCTTATCACATGGAATGCTCTGTGTAGATTTTACTTGCCTCACTTTCTGAAACAGCATGACAGAAATCCAGCCATTCTGGCAGCCTTAGCAAGGATAATAAGAAAGATCACCTTATAATGCTTCTCCCTCTGCTCAAAAACAATTACATCGAGCACGCTTAATGGAAGGTGTGATCAAAAAACCTGTAATATTAAATAAGTACAGAGAATATACCTGGTGTGATCAAAAATTACAGTGAACATTTAAGTTAAAATATTTATTATAACAAAAGACGCACTGACCTTAGTTCCCCTCAGAGTATGTCCCCCTTCCTTCCAGCACACTTCTCCCACTGTTCGTGCCACTGTCTGAAGCAGTTCTGGAGTCCTCTTTCCTCAGTGTCCTCCACTGTGCCGAGCGGGCTGCCTTGATGTCCTGAATCAATGCACATGTTTACCTTTCACGCTCATTTTCACTTTGCGGGTGAACTAGAAGCTGTATGCTGCCAGATCTAGTGCGTAGGTGGAGAACGGCACGGCATGATGTTTTCATGAGCCTGTTTTCTGTGGGACGGCGCTCGGCAACAGCGTTCACATTGGGTCGCATCTCACAGAGACACGCAGGAAAGAGGACTTCTAGAACTGCTTCACAGGGGCAAAAGCGATGCAGTAAGGGTGTTTAAAATGAGGGGCTGTATTCTGAGGGGGAATGGCAATGTGCCTTTGACTGAAATACATTTTTAAAAATTTAAATGTCCACTGCTGATGGCACCTTATATACATACATACTCATATATAAAAATATGTATTATTTAAATTTATAAAATGCATTTTGATTTGACTAATATGTAACATTGAATAATGATAGCTACCACAGATGCTACAAGGAAAAGAACAAAATTTAAAGTAATAAAGAACTTACCATTTAACATAGCTGAGGTTTTAATTTTGTCGATCTGTCTTAGAGCCGTTTCAGGAGTAAGAGCATCAAAATGATGAAGAAAGCGCTCCCTGGTGAGTCGTAACAGACTTTTGAGTTCATCAGCAGAAAACGCTGCAGGCTCCTTTGCCAACTTCCTCCTTTCTGCAAGACAAATCAATCTAATTAACCGTAAGACTTTTTCCCAAGCCTCTCTAGAGCTCATCTACTCCTCTCTTTATTGAAAGTACTTTCAAAGGTGAAACAAGTGAGCTTCTCCGGCAAATTGGCACTCCCAGGTAGGCACACTTTCATTTTCATCTGTTTGTACACAACGGCAGAATTCCCAGCTATGTAAGATAGGGAGAAACAGTGACTTGTTAACACCAAAACTTGGTAAATAATGAAGCCAAGTTTATAAAAGATTTTAGAAATAAATTGTAGAGCATTAAAAATGGACACATGTTGATACTTATACGAAACTGAAACCTGTTAGACTTTTTGGATACTTCTCAAAACCTAAGAACACATAAAAGGGACAAAACAGGACAATAAAAGATGATAAATGACACTTCAAAATAAACTTTAGAAAACAAGTGGCTGTGGGGTGGTGTTACCGTGTGTATCTAGATGTCATCCTAAAGCCTCACACAATCACGCACAGGCAGGGCTCCTGGGAGACAATTAGATTATGGGGCTGGCAGGAGGCAGGGTCAGGCGGGTAGAGGTAGGCCCAGAGCGCAGCCGGGAAAGGTTCACCTCCCTCCCTGTCCCCTCCCTCCTCTCTCTACTTCCTGTGCCCCATGCCCTGAGCAGCTCTCCTCCGCCAGGCCCCTCCGCCATGCCACCCTGCCTTGGAGCCAGCTGGCTACGGACTGAAGCATGAGCCAAAATAAAGCGCTCCTTCCTGAAGTTGTGGGTGTCAGGTATTTTGCCCCAGCAATGAGAGAGTGATTAGGGTAGCTGGTAACAGAGTGGCAGAGCAGGAGACAGTCACCTTGGGGGCCATCACTGCCCCAGAAGGCAAAAATGAGGTGCCTGAAGCTGCTGGGGCTGAGGTGCTGGCCCAGTCAGGACTGGAGGTACCGGGAGCCTGCAGAGCTCCAGCCCTCAGAGCCCATTTTTCTTCCAGTAGTCCCAGACTACAGAACCTGAGGGATACTGAAAGTAACACTGCAGCTGGTTAAAGAAGGAATGAAATGCAAGTCTGGTTGAAGGTGAGACTCCAAGCCTTGCCACTGGATAGCTAGCAGCTACGATGCTACACTGGAAAGACTGGAGGACTCTTCTCTAAACACCCTCAGAAAAGAGCCTCAGATGCTCATGCTGGGGGAGAAAGAAGAGCTCATGACAGAACGTTGAATTTTCACCTTACCACTCTGTCCAGGGACGTTCACTGGACATTACACTAAGGGTAGGCAACAAAACTTGCAACTTAGAACAGAATGACAGGACAGACACCAGACGCTGATGAAAATGTGAGGAGGGGAGGGTTCCTCCCTTCCCAGGCCTGTGTGCACACAGGCCAGGACCAGAGCTCAGGGACAAGGTCAGGGCTCTCTCCCTCCCAGCGCTCGCTGAGCCAGTCAGGAACCAGGCACATTTTGGCCAAGCCTTGCTCTCTCACCCACCGGGACTGGCCAGCCTACAGGATACAAGCTCTCTGCTGACTGGCGAGGGTCTTCCCCTACAGGTGTGGTCTACAGCGCCCTACCTCTGACACTACTCAGTAGCTAAGTTCAGAGTTCGGTAGGTATCTAAGAAATCAAGCCTAGATCTAAAACGCTGTTATCATCATCACCTGCAATTTATCTCCATTTGTATGTTTCTTAGGTTTATTTCTAAATTGGTTCCAACTTTAGGTGGTGAAAAAGGAATCACTATGATACCCCAAACTGAAGAAGTCCAAGATGAAAAAAATTTAAAGCAGCAAAGAGGGAAAAAAGGACTCAGTAGAAATAAAACTATTGCAGAGAATAAAAGAAAGCGTAGATAACTAAGAATGTCTTTGGGTGAGTGGAAATCCCATGGGAATCCTGGCTCACCAGCAATGAAAACATGAGTTGAAGGTGGGGGCTCTGGAGAAAGGCAAGAGGTTTAGGTACAGACAGAAGTGCGCGCAGTGCCACCCGAGGAACGGGGACAAGCACAAGCCTGGCCCAAAGCTCCATGGCCTGGCAGGGCAGAGGACAGGCGGGGCTCCTGGATTCTTATCCAGGGGCCAACAAGACCAAAAGTCACTTGGAGAGAGGACACGGGGATGGAGTGTGTGGAGCTCCCAAAACCACATTTCTGGAACAAGAGTGACCTTCACTGGCATCAAGAGTAAGGGAGAAAAGGCCAACCTCGCAGCTGAGCTCCTAATGAGTGTTAGCCGTGCAGTATTTATTATAAAACAGAAATGCCCCATGGCTTTCTCCTGCATACCATAACTTAACTGATCTCACACACCAGAATTCAGATCACAAATGGCTGACAGAATACTTCTGTGGGGTAGCCCTAATTTAAGAAAAATTATAAGTGAATATGACCTCTTAAAAAAAACACTGGTAGCTTCTGGGCATGGTGGTGCATGCCTGTAATCCTAGCATTTGGGAGGCTGAGGCAGGAGGATTGTTGCAAGTTTGAGATCAGCTGGGGCTACATAGTGAGACCCTGTCTCAAAAAGCCAAAAAAAGAAAAGTTGGTAATAATTTCAGTTCAGTAAATACTGTTCTCCTTTTTGGAAGACATGGTTGATTAGTAATGTTCAACTTTTCAAAAGACAGGGTACATCATCTCAAAAGCCACTGAAGACTGGTTTTATAACTGGTTATGTGAATAGGTTTAAATAATGAGAAAATCCCTTGTTATCTGATGTCAAGCAAGATCCACCTGTGTTACAATTTGTGCTAAAAACTGATAAGGCAATAGTTGAAGATAAGGAAGCAACATCTACGTCATATTTTTGGTCTTGACTTTGCCACTTAGAATTCCCTGTACCTACAATGCTGCCTTTTACTGTGTGAAAGGTACTTAGCGTGGTGAATGTATAATACCAAATAAAGAACACTCAACACTTCCCCAAAGAAAAAAGCAGCATATACATACTATTTGGATTTTTGCCAAAGGGCAGGGGGCAGAGATGGAGGGAGGGGAGAAGCGGATGAGAAAGAGTGGAGACGTGCTCTGCGCATGCAGCATCTCCCCAGCATGAATGGCGTCATCATGCACTGTACATATGTGCTCACAGAAACAGAAGTCTAGTAAGTAGGAAGGAGTGTCAGGGGCTGGAATGATGGGGAGGAGGGCAAGGCTTTCTGTTTTGCACTTGAAGTTTTTAGCATCATCTGAATTTTCATACTACATCCTCGTATCACTTTGCCAAAAATGCTTCATTTTAAAACACTTGTACACTAACGTTTTCTTCCATAATACAATGGTAACTTATAAATACAGATACAGTTCAAGTCAGCAAACACTGACGGAGAGCTTCCTGCTGCCGAGCACTGCTGGACCTGCAGACACAGAGGTTAATGAGGCCCACTGCATTCAGTGACGTGGGGTCGGCACATTCACAACTCAAGGCAGTCAGCTGAGCCGGAAGCCCCGGTCTCAGGCTCCCCTTCACAACATCTGATTTATAATACACCATAAAATCGTCTTCCCCGACAATTCTGCAAATGCCTTCCAGACTCCACCTGCGACAGGGTAAGTGACTCAGGGCTTTTGCAGGCTACAGTACTGGTAACAGCAAAATCAGAGTTTTCATGCATCCCATCACATCTGCTTAAAAAATGAGCTCTATCGTTCTTCACTTTTTGTACAATGTGCTGGTAGTCATTTTAAAATAAGTCACCAGTTAAAAATAATGTGCTTCAGAAATTAGCCCCTACAGTTTTACTAGTGCCTAAAAAATACTCTCACATCATGAACCTGCCCTGTTAAAACTGCCAGTTAAACTGCAATTCAGGGAGCAGTGTAAGGACTCATACTGACCTTACTGACTGAGAAACGCAGTGACAATCTACGAGGTTTAGGAGAGTACTGAGCACGCTAACTTATGTATGCAGATTAAGTGTTTCTGTACTAGATCATTCAGATTTAGATCTCTGATCCAGTTGGATTTTAGTGTAGTACATGGTGAGATGGATGGGTCTAGATTCAACCTTCAGCATTTGGATTCCACCTCACTCCAGGAAGAATGGACATCAGCAAGAAGAGAAGTAATAACAAGTGCTGGTGAGGATGTGGGGGAAAATGAGCCCTTCTGTACTGCGGGTGGGAATGCAAACTGGTACAGCCACTATGGAAATCAGTGCGGAGATTTGTCAAAGAACTAAAACTAGAAATTCCACTTGACCTAGCTATTCCATCTCTAGGTATCTTCTCAAAAGAGTTAAAGACACTGTATTACAGTGGTCCATGCACACCCACATGTACATCAGCACAGCTCAGAACAGCTAAGTACTGGCCTATATGCCCATTAACAGATGAGTGGATGAAGAAAACGTGGCTTTATATACCATGAAGTACTACTCTGCTACAAAGTAGGATACGTTTGTAGGAAAGTGGATGCACCTTCAGATCATAATGTTAAATGAAATAAATTAGTGTTACATGGCTTCTCTTGTATGGGAAAGCCAAAATACAAAGGGAAAAATTAAAGACAGACAATAGGAAATAGGAAGGTGGATCATTTGCAAAAGGGAAGGGGGCGAAAGATAGTGGGGTATTTATTTTGCATCATACTAAATAGTATCTTATTTAGAACTTGTTCAGCATTCTTAAACTTTTTATTGATAAGTCACTGAAATACAGTATCACTAAAAAATATTTCCAAGTACAAAAAGCTATACATTAAAAAAAAAAAAAAAATCCCAGCACTCAGGAGGTTGAGGCAGGAGGATAATTGTGAGTCTGAGGCCAGCCTGGGCTACAAAGTGAGCTCAGGGCCAGCCTGAACTGCATAGTGAGACCCTATTTCAAAAAGACCAAAAAACCCCCAAAAGCATGTAAAATACAAAATTTTAAATTTTATATGTCATCATTCTAATATTATATTAGATATCGTCTTCAAAACAAAATAAAATTAATGATAATTTATTTAAAACTAAACCTCCAGCAAATTTTATTTGATTTCTGTGTTATTATAAAAAGCACCTCAATAGTCACTGGTGAGCTTGTTTTTGTGAGAAGCTTTTCTTTCTCGTTTGGTCAGGAAAAGTTAGTAATATAATCTACTCCATGTTTTGTTGATAATTTTGAAGAAGTCTTTTGGATCAAGTTTTGTTTTTCTGCGAAATCCACAATCTTTGTATCAATTTCAAGCCAGTGATTTGTTTCAGAGCGAGCTGCGGATTATATTCTTCACTTTGCATCACGTATCAATGAATTCACTCAAGGAGACTCACTCAGCCCTGAGCTCCCAGTTCCCCCAAGCTCTGGGTGCTGCGGACTGGGAGAATGAGGAAGAGGAGCCAGGAGGTGGCTAAGAGAACAGAGAGAACAGAAGTGCTAAGCTGGGATGGGGCGACACCTGTGACCCAGCACTTGGGGATGAGGCAGGAGAATTGCTGCAATTTTGAAGCCAGCCTGGGCTACATAGTGAGTTCAATGCCAGCTGTAGGGGGAGGGGGGGACCCTGTTTCAATATAAAAAAAAGGGTGGGGATGTAGCTCAGTGTGAAGGACCTGGGTTCAATTCCCACTACTGCTGGAAAGAAGGAAAGAAAGGAGGGAGGGAGGGCGAAAGAAGGAGGGAGGGAAGGAGGGAGGAAGGGAGGAAGGAAGGGAAAAAGTATTAATTTCCTAGATAAGGAAAATGCATAATGCCAACTTCACTTGGTATGAGAAATGTGCTTAGGTTCTTACTGATGGTCACAATTAAAGTCTAATCAGTGTTCAAGTGACAATTTCTCTGGACTTGCATTTTCTTCTATTTGTAGTCTCTACCCTTGTACTACCAGAAGTATATAAAGGACATATATA